TGGGAATCATCCGATGCAATCTATTCACTGACGGGAATCCGGTCTAAGGACGTGAAAGTCCGGGTCCAATATACAGCAGAAGCGATCACGATTACAATAAACAATCCCCACCGCCACCATCACCACGACCATCACCATCGCCACCACCACCACCATCGCCACCACCACCATCACCATCACCACCACCACCATCACCATCACCACCACCACCGCCAAGCGCACAGAAACCGTTCGCGAAATCCCTTACACTCCCGTGGCCATCTATCCGAATTGTCCCCATCTAAATTCTCTATTGAATATTTACACTCCGCAAGCGATAGTTATGCAATTAGTGTTAGACGAAACCACCTCCCAATCCCTCACACACTCACATACTAAAAATCCTGATTTGACTATCTTGTAGTGGCTTNTGTCACCACCTTAATCTGCCTGTTCCGCCGGTATGCTTTCGCATGATCGCAGGCCTTGGTTGTTTGGAACATACGCTCGTGTATCATTCTCCTTTGTAGCATAAATTCCGCTAGGATCTTCGATATCCTGAGACCGCTTCTTCAGCTAGGTTTTTTATCGTTGTTTAAGTCGCTGCCACCTCCGGTGAAGTAACTTCACTTTAAACGGCGCGTGATTTCAGTGCTACATCTCTTGTCAAGCATTTTTCGCTTTCAGACACCCTCGAGCGTAGTCAGGCTAAAGCTTCGGTGCTTTCAGGGAACATTACACTTTCTCTCGACTAACCGACTGTTCTTCCTGATCTATACCGGGTGATCGAGAAACACGGCAGAATTAGGGATCGGATCGCTGTCGCAGGTTGCGAAATTGCATTCCCTGTTTAAAAAGGGGGAGAAATTATAATAAATCGGAAACTAAATAAGCAACGTAATATAATGTGAAGTAATTGGCTCGTAGATAAAGCACTGAAAGCAAGCTTGTTCTGTACATCTCTATGTTTTCCGGACGAATAATCTATCGAAATGATTGACTCATTTGAAAAACAACAAATACCCTATGCCCATTTATTTCGATCCTGAAAGTGTCAAATTTGGTGTGTAAGAGAGAGAGAAATCATTCTTTACGCAGTACTGCATCAGAAGTTACAAACCGGTGTTTTTTATTCTCCAGGACTTACTTCTAATGAGTACAGTTGACCCAGTTGGAAGACTTGCTTTTTCACTCAAACTGATTTTATCAATTCTAGTTCCAATGATGCAATGGGAGTTTAATGCAAACAAACGAAAATCTCTAAATTCCCTTCTGGTTTTCGGTTGGGATTGGGACACGAAATGTTAATCAACTATAGAAAGAAACATGGTTGGTTGTTGATCAAAACGTATCACGCAAATCGAACGTGACTGAGACTTTGCTTTGTACACTAATCCCACTCTAGTCTGATTGAGATACTAGCAATGTAACCTTTGATGCGTAATTGAGTAAATCGTGTGAAATCCAATCGATCGAAATTATCTCTTTAATCTTTAAATTCACCAACACAACAGGATGGTAAATTGCTTCAAACTGTACCGTTTTTTCATACTAGAAACATGCCATTACGCTAAACAAATTAGGAATTGACATAGTCACGTGCAGACCTAGTTACACAACTGATACTTGCATGCTGAGAAAATATGACGCAATTACGAGTTTCCCTTGTGTAGTACATGTGTAGGCTGTTTGAAACTTATGCTCTTGAGTAAACTATTAGGATTTCATTGGTTACGGGGAAGAAATATCGTACCGTATGGTGTCAATCGTGTGCGTGCAAGATGCTGATGATGATGATGATGATGATGATGATGATGATGATGATGATGATGATGATGATGGTGAACGGAGGATGATTTGGATGATGATGATGATGATGATGATGATGATGATGATGATGATGATGACACATGTTTACGATGAAGATGATCGTGATGATGATACGGATGATGATGATGATGATGACGATGATGATGCTTCGGATGATGATGATGATGATGATGATGATAATGATGATCATGATGATGATGATGATAATGATGGATGATGATGATGATGATGATGATGATGACGATTCGAATCATGACGATGACGATGATTCGGGAGGAGGAGGAGGAGGAGCAGGAGGATGATGATGATGATGATAATGATGATGATGATGATTCGGATGATGATGATGATGATGATGATGATGATGATGATGATGATGGTGATGATGATGATAATGATGACGATGGTAATGATCATGATGATGACGATTATGATGATGATGAGAATGATGATAATGATGATGGTGATGATGATGATGATGATGAGTGAATTATACCACTATATTTGTATTTTTTGGTTTTGGAGTACTTCCTTTTGATAGAAACTCACTGGTACATAAAATACTGCCACTTGACGTTTTCAATTGAAAAGCTGCCAGTTTTGTATGGGTGCTCGGGGTTTGTTTTTTTGATACATACATCTTAAACGTAACGGATAATTGCAAATTCCAAGAATTCTTCTACAATCCAATTTCGTCTGACTGATAAAGCCTTCGAAACTTTCAATAGGAAGTGTGTAATTGTAAAATCTCTAATTATCAAGCGTTATTCCATTGGAAATAACCCCCTCCGCCCGAATTTAAAATTACTCGACGCTCTCCAAAACATGCATATTCGTCTTTTCAGCATACGTGATCATAGATTTCATGCGATACAATCCACGCAATCCACCAACGTATTTCGCTTGGCCCCGTACATTCTTGTTCTACGTGTTTGCATTGACCCAATTTTTAGATCAATTTTCACTTTCTTTCTTGGTCATTTACACTATCCTCTTCAAAACTCTCTTCACAGGCCAGATGGAATCTCTATTCTCTCGCAGGTGTGTGTGTGTGTGCATGTACTCAAATCGTGACCTGATTCGAGAGTGTTACTCATTGATCAATCAATCCAACACGGTTCTCGTTCCTCTGCCGTCGTAATGATCAGCGACAATGGTGGACTTGTTCACCTTATACCCGCGCGAGATTCCACGCGCGCGCTTTTAAGCCCAAGCGCATGCGTACACTTAGTTGTGTGAAACAATAAAAATCGGGGATGTAGATTTAAATTAGCTTACAGACACCCCCCCCCCTCCGGTGTACCCAATTAAGATATTGTTCATTTGTATGTCCATTATTCAGGATTGTTCTTCCAAATGGATATCAGGTGTTTTCTACCCAGACTGACTGTCTTTTCCGTGAACGAGATACAGTTTCGGATCGAGGCCGGTGATGATTGTGTTGGAACGATGACAATGTTGATTGAAAACATTTTGCGTGAATTTCTTTTCGCATCCAGATATTAAATTGATAAGTCAGCTAACTGGTGGATGCCATATGCCTCCTCTGTAAGTTAGATGGGTGATTCAAATGTTTCAAGATCAGTGCTCTGTCGGTGTGGCCTCGCTGTAGCTCGGCTGGCAAAGTGTGCGCTGTACAATAAATCGTAGGCAGCGTCCATGCGGGGATTCGAATCTCTCTGAGGCTGCTGAAATTTTCACAATCTCGACATAAATCTTCAAATCTGCCAAATATTTGTTGTGAAAAGACCGATTATCTTAGCTAACCCCAAAGGGAATATAGAAAAAGCTGGTCCCAAGAACATGCTAACAGACCACTCTATTAATCTCACACTTCTGTATGTACATCCTCACTCCTGGGATAACAACATTGTTCAAAACAGATACAACGCAGACCCTGAAGTGAGGTGAACAAAATGTAATATGTACCATACTGAATGACCAGGTTAGAAATAAAAAGTTTACAAATTTCGCGCTTCGCTGATGCACAAAATCCTCGGCTCTTGCGTTAGGGAATGACGAGAAAACCGACTTAACTAATTTACTTTTCACTTATCAGTCATTTGGTCAGTCCGTCCTGTTACGTTTGTATTTCAAACTGTTTGGTCTCCTATCCGTAACCCGCTAGCAAAGTAGAATAACCGTGCGCTGGGTAGGAGATATTTGTTACGACTCGTTCACAATCAGTCGTGTTGAGCGTATGTTCAACAAGGCAGAAATGGAACTAAATAGCCAATCAGGATCACAGTCAAGTGCGTGAGGTTGATTGATATGGACAGATATTAATCGATAACAGTTGTGGAACGAGCAAATTAACGACCGATCCCAAGAGTCTACTGGATGAACATACACTAGATTCTAAATTTTACTTTGTATTTCCTCATGTAATGTGATCGCTTTGTAGCTCACTGTTTGAAGTTCCAGTAATATACATACACAGACATATCAATGGTCTTTGATGTGGATCCGGTCATACTATAATAACTGTAGAATTGTCCTGTCTATCCGGAGATTTTAAGTGAGCCTTGGATGAATACATTCTCTTTATGAAAAAAACGAATGATCGTTGCTTCGTTTGGCATTTGTAATGTATTTAGTTTTCTCTCTCCTTGTGTAAATACAACCTTATCTTAGTTATTGTTAGTATTTTTTGATTCAATAAAGTTACAATCCCTTATTTGTTCAACATCTCTGTTCATAGAGCGTACTACATGCGAATTTGCTAAAACAATTGCACGTACTTTCTCTTATACTACCGCGGAATCCAATCAGGAAAAGGATCGCTTGTCCGGTGCTCTGTAACTTTTATGACTCTATTTCGCAGTACATCTGATTTCCACTTTTATCGGTAATACTTTTTGATATTCCCAGAACCAGTAACAGTCAAAGTTTTATTACTTATTACTTACAAGCGGTTGCTTTTGTTTGGAATAATGTGGAATGATGATGATAGATCCGGATGCGGAGGTTGCTGTTGCTGTTGGTGGTGATGGTGGTGTGTTCTCCGAGCCGGAGGTGTTGTACGCAGACACTTCGCAGCCAGACTAGGCAAACCATCATCTTATCGGATTTAGGTCAAGGCAAATCAAGTCAGCAGTAGCCTCATGCCCCCGGATGGGTGAATGTTTAGCATTTACACACCTTCTGTCTTCAGGATTGAGGGCAGAGGGCAGGGTGCCCGTGTAACCCCGTCACCACTGGGTCAAAGATCCGATCACAAGTGTTCGTTCCTTCAGAGCCCCTTCAGGTGTTCATCCAGGCGCCGTTTGAAAGCAGCGTCTGTCTTCTCTTCTACCACATTCGCTGGAACGGAATTCCAGAGTGTTTTTGACCTTCGCGAGAGTCGGTAGACTAACGGAAGATCAACTGACTGAAGTTTTTGCAACGTGAGAGAGTGCCCCCGCGTGCGGTGCTCTGTCCGTACAGGGAAGTACTGTTGCAGCTCCGGGCCCATATCATCTCTCAGGATCTTCCTCAGGCAGATGAGATCTCCCCTGAGGCGTCGATACGCAATTGGGCCCAGACCATTAGCCTGTAGACGATCTTCATAGCTGGTCCCGCTTAGTCCAACAACGAGTCTAGTGGCAGCACGTTATACACACTCCAAATTAGCCAGTTTACCAGCCGTGCAGGAGCATATCGCTGAACCACTGTACTCAAGTCTTGGTCTGACATGGGAAGCGTACAGCAGTCTGAAAGCATCTATCTTGAGCTGGTTGACAGACCGCTCAATAGGCCCAAGAATTTTTCATGCGCTAGCACAGATCCGATCGGTGTTTTCTCTGGTCTTTAGTAATGACGTAACCATAACACCCAGGTCCCGTTCGTACGATGTTCTGCGCAGTGTGGTTCCCTGGAAGTTGTAGACTTAGTTGTGGATTCAAATTTACAAAGTCATTACAAAATGAAACTGAAAGCAGTAGATTGTTTTTGTCAATGAAGCAAGCCACTGCGCAATTCTGTGGAAGTTTTCTCCTTTTCAATAAGTAGACGTGCCAGATACGGGCAAAACGGAATTACGATAAGAAGAGGTAAGGGCAAATAAAAGTTTAAATCTTGAGCGTGTGAATGATGTAGATATAGCTTTTGAAAATCCGTTGTTTAGTGGGTGGTGCGTGTCTGAAAGTATTGTGGCAGTGAAATTTTCACATGCTTGTAGGTGTCTGTCTATGATAGAATACGCAAATTTAGCACAAATGAATGAATGATGAGGAATGTCACAAATTTCTTTGTGTTTTTTTGCGCTGCTACGGATGTCAAAATCTCAGATTTTTTTAATGTTTCATTCTGTTTTTGCTTGAAAGAATTAATTGTGGGTGCAGAAACAAGGTTATCTGGTAGAGAATCCCAAATACTGTGCACACTCTGAGAGCAAATAAATGAAAGAAGTCGAACTAGGTCACTTTGTTCATCGGATAAAATTTCAAACCTGATAATTTGTGGATCACTACCAACGATTTAGGAAATTTTAATTAATTCGGACTAGGGAGAAAATTTGTTTTTATCGATCTTGGCGAATGGATACGTTATGTCAATGAGGTGTGAACTGAACTACTACAAGGCACTGGATAGCTATTTCGTCCTGGTTGGATCTCATCAGCAATGTGTAAATCCATCGACCCAACGGCGGATTGCGAACCCGAGATCTCACAGGTAGAATGCAAGCATACTACTATCTGGGCCTCGAGGCAGCTGATCAGACCGTTCCCCATTTTGAATATACATTTTCTTCGCATCCTATGGTCTTGTATTAATTATTTAGAACTTTTTTTGTTATGCACTTAAGGATGATGAACAGCAGACGGGGCAAACTCCATAGTCACGAGGACCTGCTGTTTTAGTGGTGGGAACCGGCAATTCAATCCCCGGGACTTGGGGTGCGAACCATATAAGGACCCGATAGGTTAGGCGTGGTATTGAACCGGACAGCAGCAAAGCTGTCTACCACCAAAGTCGGTTGACGGTAGCAGGGCTCGAACCTCGGACCATAGGGTTTAAAGCACGCCGGGGACAGCGAATAAACCACTGGTGCTATAATATTGTGGCCACTATCGCCGTATCTGTTTCCAAATGTACCTGACAAGTACGGACTGATTGCGTGCCGCTGTTCTGACCAAATTTTCCCGAAAACTATATAACTATGATTTTGAACATCAAATATAATATTTTTATGTACCAAACAGGAAGCCTCAGAGTTTCGAATTAAGTGCACAGTTTGAAAATAGGTGCAGGACCGTTTAAAAGAATTAGCACCGTGTACAACTGGATCAGGAATTTGGTTAGTAGCCTTGACTCATCAGTTCCGTGTTTCCCAAACACACCATGATAACCTACTCTCACAAAACCACATAAACTTGATAAAAGAACAGAAACGAAATAGGTCATTCTTAATATAGAAAACTATTTAAAAAACTGTAAGAAATACATACTTATGGATCATTCTCGTTTTCAGCTAGATTCAAAAGCAAAAGACAAAACTGAAAGTTTGA